AACTTATTATATATAAAAATTTCTCAAGATAGTATGAACGTTGGTCTAAAATCTTCGTCTTTTATCTTTTATTTTGTCTTTTCTATAAATTGTGGTCCTCAAAAAAATAAACAAAGATTAGACGAAATCGTATTGTGCATTTATGTGTTTCCTTTATTTTGACATAGAAAATGTCAAAGACAATCCGATAAAATGAAACTCAGATTGGTGCTTATTGTGAAAAGCTATAGTGAACTAGTCTTTATCATGTGTTTTTCAAGAATCGGATGAGTACTTTCGCCAGAGATAATTCTACAAAATCAAATCGAGCACTGCTCTATGTTGTCATAGTTTTGGTTCGGTGAAATATTCGTTCAACTGACAGTTTTAGATAGTTTTTCAGAACTCATCTAAAATTACAATATGCATAATCTTATGTTTAGTATCCAGTAAAAAGAAATGCATTGAATATGATTAAAGGATTCAGAAGTATAATAAACCGATACTTGTCCCGAAATCATAGAAGTGTTTCAAAATTCTTATGGAAAAAGGTCTGAATAGCTCTTGAACATTTCGAATGGATATATTTTTCGAAATGGTATTTGAAAGTTTCCATACATCTCGTTCAATACAAATCAAATAAAATGTCTTCATCTATGAACGTAGATATCAAAATCATTTTATGAATGACTTAATTTCAGTAGCTATGATTGTAAAGTCAAAATTGCTAATCGAAGTTGATGAAGAAATCTCAAAGGGTGATTGTACTTTCAGATATGTATGTCTCGATACTTTTATGAAATTGATACAATAGAAGACAACTAACATTCTAGACAATTTATAGCAATAGCAGAAAACAATTTCAATGAAGTCCATGCTTTTGAAATTATAGTGTGCCAGCATCAAATGTATACAGTACTATAAGATTTTGTTCAATGAGCGATGTATTTTCATTGACGAGGGAACATATCTAAGTGTATGATGCCAATCAAACTCATATTTAACCTATAGGAAGGATTTAGTAGGATTAAGGGAAAATTAAAACGAATAATCCTCATGTCCCGATGACCATTAGGAATCATGATTATTTTACTGCGGTTTTCTGGAACTTAGCTAAGTGTTGATAGAAAATTGTATAATCAGATTTTGACATGATGTTCTGTCCAAAGAAAGGCTTATGGGCATAAGAAGCTCGTCGTACTCTCAACAAAAATGAGTTAAATTTTCGATAAAACAAACTAGGGTTTATCGAATTTTCTTCTAGCATTATCTGTTACAGGAAACTAAAAGTGAAATTATGGATCTTCTAACTATTGAAGAGTTTTACAGAAATCTGGAATCATAAAGAATCAATGTAAATAGAAAAAAAACATCCCGAAAAATGACTACTGTTGATGAATCCATAAATCATTTCTTAAACATTTACTTTCACATACTTTCCGTTGTGCCGCCAGAGCGTTGTAAGACGACATCCGAAAGATATTTGTCATCTGTAATAAGACAAACAACAGTAAAAAAAACATTGACGAGATTTTAGTTGGTACCATTGTGGAGAATCCGGGTGCGACACATGACATGCCGATAAGACCAAGTTTCAACTCGGCAATACAGATAATTTCGTCTTCGTCCGTATTCCAGCCTGGTATAGAGACGACATTCATCTAAAATGATACTCGTTATCAGTATCTATATAAGAGATTCAGCTTGCCTTATTGCCATATTCAAGCAGTTGTAAGAGTATCCGGATGCGTTGATTGAAGTTTTTCAAACTTATCACTCGCATGATATTCGCCGAATCGTCACTATTTGGATCTGAATATTCTTTATCGGCAATGATCAAACAGGCTGTAGCTTTATCGACCTTGGCACATGAAAAAAACAAGTCTTCTTATAGGGGGACAGAGAAAGATGTTGCTAACTAATATTATAGTTTTGGACAACATACTGACGTCTTAGAAAAGCTTGTTAGCGCAGTCCCTACGGACTCAAATGTGGAACTCACATATGCTCTCTAGCTTCATTAAACTAATACAAAATGCATAAAGTGAGAAACTTCTCGTAGACTGTAGTTGTTTTGCAGGATACTCAATCACTAAAGTAAGGACCTCCCTAATTTCTGTATATGAAACAAAAATTTTTAATTTTTTCTACGGACGTCCTATTTTCTTGTTTGAATTGTTGCTATTCGCTCATTACTTTGTATTTTTTAAATTCATTTTTCTTAATTTAACATTCTTATTATTATAATCATTGAATCAACTGGCAAATAAGTCTGTTTTACATATTCATGATATCTGCAGCAGATATTACACACTATTATATATTAATCAACTCACCAACAATAATATTCATTAGTTTTCAAAATTATAACTTGATCAATTTTACAAAAAAAAAACTCTAAAAAGTCTGACGCCTATTATTCTCTATTGCTAAAGTCTGTAATGACGGGATCTGTAACGTACGGGAATCCTTATTGCTAAGCGTCTATAACAAGATATGGGAGAAGAAAGCTAGAAAACTTCTACTTAAAACTTACACTCACTTTTTTCTTTGAAAATATATGTGAGTTCCATAAAAATGTAGCTCATTATTGTTGATTGAAGAATTCCCTCAAAGTCATACGACGAAGAAGTTTCTAAAAGTTGTGCATATCCATTAAAATCTCCCAAGTAACCGTATTTAGTCTTTTCCAGAAAAGGTTGGTGATAGTGTTGCCTAGTCATATTAACTGATCGTTAGACTCCTCAAATTTCAAAATAGTTTTTCACCTTTCGCCAATGGCAGTGGTAAAATGTTGTCGATTATACTAACTGTAATAGATAAGGCGTCACAATATCTACATAATTTTGAGTGGACATATAATCATTTCATACGATTATTGAGAAAATGATTCCTATATATAATTGAGTTATCAATCTGATTCCATCATGCTACACTTGATCTATATATCTATTTACTCGATTAATTATACTAATATTCTTTGTGGGTAACATCACATTCTCAATAAAGTCCCAAATCGGACGTCTATAAAACTTCCTACTGTACGGTCTTAAACCAATTTAGTAAAGTGGATATGTCAGTGTTTTAGACGACTATAAGTAACCTTAGTAATTCAATTGGGAATATAGTGTGTGTCCTCTTGACTATGTTTCAATCGACTTACTTGTATACGTTGCAAGTCAGCTATATTCATGATACTACCAACAAAATAATGTACTTTTGTGTAGTATCGTTTGAGTAGAGCTTCCATTTCGATCTCTGGCGTTTTTCTGTCAATAAAAACTAAGAACATTGTGTTCATCAAAATTTTACTAAAACTATGCCTGTCAATAATGACGACATCGAGTTTATCCGCTTGATTGCGACCTTTATGGAGAAAATCACGAAGAAATGGTGCCAACGAATGTGGTGCGATATAACCACAGATGACAACGTGACTAGAAAGCAAATATGTGCATATAGAGAAACACATGTAAAACATACCGTTTGCCTTTCACTGTCTTGTATTGACCGGCGTACGGACCTTTTGAACCGAATAGATCGGGAAGTACCGGAATTATTGTAGCAAATACTGCCTTAATTTTTACAGTCAATGCTCGAATAGATAAGAATAAAATAGATATTTACCAATCCACTCATGAGAAACAGAAGCACGAAAAATCTGCCAAGATAAGTCTTGCAAGAGATATCACCATATCCAACCTAATATCGAACAATGCTATCTTTCATTTTCTGATTTTGTTTAGATATTAACTCACTGTTGACATGGTGATAATCATAAAGTAGACTGTAGTAAAAATATCTAACTCTTGTGCATTACAAAAATTACAAAAGAAATCGCCTGAATTCTCAACTAAATGCACCAGACCAGCAGCCGCAAACAAAATAGCAATGAATTTCGATGCTAAGTGAATGATTTGGATCGTACGAGGACGCTTGATAACACCCATGTATTGTAAAATGTCTGGATTATTCATCAAGCGCAGCGAACGCAAAAATCGTAATCCTATAAAAATAAGATATGTATTCAATGAATCATAAAAACATATATCTTAACGATTACCTGTCCAACTTCGATTAAGATAGACAGCCATAAACGAAGGCGGAATTGTAAAAATGTCGACAAGAGAGTGCAAACTCAGCCAGAAACGTAGTTTGTTTCGCGCAGTAGCAAACTAATACAGCAATAGAAAAATATCAATCAAACGGGAAATCTTAGCACTCACTCGAAGAATGAAATAAATGAGAAAGATAACGTTGAGACCGAAATCAATCTGCATGCTGATCGACTTCTGGAATATCGTGCATGATTCCATGTAACTAGGTAGAATAAAACTCATGATTCAATGGCAGAACTTAGATTGAAAGCATATAACAAACTATAGAGATAGTTATTCTATGAAATGCAAATCTATTTAATTTTTATTTCGTATAAATCTGGATCGTCGGATTCAGTAAAAAGTCAGAATCAATACATCTTCGAACGGTGAAGCAGTGAATGAACGAATACAAAATCTTTTATAGAATTGTCAGTCTGCAAAGATTTCGAAATCCCTTCATCTTTTTAGATCATCCAGGCACATGAGAGCCATGATCTATCGATGAAATATGATCAACTCCTGCTAGAGCATTCGTGACTTCAATTAACACCAAATGTTTTCTAAGCTCCAATAGAGTACTGCCAAATCCTCTATGCTGAAGATTGATACTTGTATAAGATGCCATGACAAATTACTTTATATACAAGTCATCAGTTTATTTTCTATCCTTTTTACTGAACGATTAGTTCAATTTTCTGTCAAAACTGCTGCTCTTATTTAACATAAAAATGTGAGTCTTCACAGAATCAATTTGCAACTTATTCGCTCTGTGGCCTAAAAATGGAATAAGGTTTGACAACTGTAATAGCATCTAGGAATCTAAAACTATTATGTAGCATTGATTGAAATAGAAACTCATAAAAATATGCTGTTTCCTTTCTGACCGCGATATTCTCTGTTCAAGCGAACATTTATACTTACCTGCTCTGTTGTGTATCTATACAGTATAGTATCACTGAGGCAATACTGCAGATAAAAATAACGCTGATCTAAAAAGGAAATGAAATCTTAGTGCGTATGTTAATTCAAATACTAACGAGTGCTTTGCCTATTTTGTTTTTGCCCGAAATAATATTATTTCCCCAGTCTTTCATTTCTTGTATAGAATCATATTGATTGCTAGCGGTGTCATCAATATCGGTAACACTTTTCTGTATTGATAATATATAAATGAAAAATGATATAGTATAAATGTTGTGGTATCGAATTTCGTTTATTTGATAGTCTTACATTTTTGGTTTTTGTCGTGTATCTGATACGACGACATTTAATAACCAATTCTTGGCCTATATTGTAAATGAAAATAATCGTCAAACCACAGATAAAAGTGACCCATGATGATAAAAGAAAAGTAATCCACTTTCGTTTGCCATGACATAATGGATCAATACTTTTGTTTGCTTGTTCCAGCGAACACGTTGGGCAATTGCCCATTCTTTCAAACTATCAACCCGAATACGAGTTTACTGCTACACAGACACAGTAACCAATACAAATACTACTTAATTCTAATAATAATCTGAAAAACAAATTCTTACATTTTTCTTGCGGATTTTTCGATTGAAAAATCTATAAAAATATTTAGAAAGATTCCATGAATCAATTAATTCTTTAAAACATTCGATAATTTGTAACACACAGCTATTGAAAAAACCACGATAGAAAGATAAGTCAACCAGCGCGATACCAGTTCAATTCAGTTTGTCGTGCACTCCATCATCACTCTCAAGTAAAAATTTTAAATGCGCAACAACACTTGACTGATGTATTTGGTGGTCTATATTTGAGTGAAGGTCAGTGATTAAAACCTAGATATGTCGATCACAATAGCATCAAACGTGAATACAAGCGTTACCAGTGGTTAGTACGTCTGTGGTGATTCGATCTGAGTGTAAAATAAGTCAAATCGAAGCCGAAATGGTGATTTATTTTTTCTATCTTCTTAAAGTCAGAGTTCTTCTAGAGAAAATCTTTGAACTATTCAAAGATTAAAGTTCACTAAGGCCACCAAATTCTTTAAATTGGTAACTTCTGGTATGGCATCTTTTTATGTGACTGTAAAACTAATTGACATCGGTTGATAGAAAAAAAGCAATGGATCCCATATGAACTCAAACTAACAAAGAATCTTTTATAATTCAGATGACCATCTCTACTGTAACAAACCTAAGGAAAAACTACTTCAAGAGAATGATATACTTGTTTTACCAAATTTATTCCATTTCCTCACCAGACAAGCTCGTATTGTGAAATTCATCAAATAGAAAGTTCAATACGAAATCAACGATCTTTCTAGGATTGTGTAGATAATATTCAACGCATAGAAAAAAAACAACACTATTATGTAGAAACCAATTAAGTACAAACTCTAAATTTGTGTATCAACATCTTTTTTTTTTAAATTGTAAACTAAAACAATTTCTTGAAAAAACGTACTTAACACAGAAAATGCTTTAAGAAAATATACATATAATGGGACACATATTTTCTGAGGATGAACTGTTACCGAATGAGACTCATTTCTAACTATTATCCGATTCAAAATAAAAACCAGATTACCATTTTTTTAAATAACTTTTGATAAGAACGAGATAGAGAGCTGCGACTTTCACCGTTCGAAAGCGCGATATCCGGGCCATCGATCAGTATAGAATTCATTTAGACGAAAGATGATTTTTCATAGGTAGTTTTGGATCAACACTTTTTTCTTTGTATATTTTCATCAATTTTTACAATAATCTGGACTCAATTTATGTGAAAATGTAGTTCAAATCATCCTTTTGCGCTCTAAAATTAACATTTGCTTTTTTTAAATCCGCTTAGAACAAGATATTGAGAAATAATGAAATATGTGATAATTTTATCACGAAAAAAAGGGTGATTTTAGCTATATTTTGACATAAATTGAGTTGAGATTATTGTGAAAACTAATGAAAATACTCAAAGGAAAAAGTGTTGAGTCAAAGGCAGCAATAAAAAAAAGTATCTTTCGTCTTAATGAGTTCTATGCTGATCGATGGTCCGGACATCGGTCTGTCGAATGGTGAAAACCGCAGTTCTCTATCTCGTTCTTATCAAAAGTTATTCAAAAAATGGCAACCTGCCTTTTATTTTAGATCGGATATTAGTATGCACAAGTACAGCCATATTAATAGAGCTCATCTGATTGTGTCATCGAAGCTATTGACTTGTTGTAAGACAATGAATCTCATTATATCAAACTGCATAGGGCAATCGGTCAATTTTCACTAATTATCTGACAGATCATAAAAATGACTTAAATAAATTTTTGTTTAGTAAAATTTCAAAGCACTCGACGACTCATCTTCTGAAACCTGGGTTCGTTGTGAGACATACGTTAAAAAAAACGCGATACTAGAAAATGTATGCAATCTAGGATATAAAATAGGTCTCGTTTTGTAAAGCACGATTGGAAATAAATGTTGAAATATATTGCGTGAAAAGTGAACCAGCTCCCATACTCTCCCACAAATCATGACAGACAGTTCAACATGCTACCTCTTGGACTTTATTAGGAGTCATGATCAATACACAGAGGATCCTCACATACAAGGTATCTCAAAAGTCACTATATAAAAAGAAATTCGAATATCTTCACTACATTTTCATGAAATGTAATTATATATATTTTTTTCTGATGGTAGAGAGCACTCCGAAATTTTCATTCATAAATACAAATTTCACTTACACTCTTCAAAAGTATCACTATTTACTTCAATAAAAAAAATGTCACTTTTTTACTAATGAGATAGTAACAGCTCTCAAGGTTTTATAGAAATTTCGTATATAAAATCTTCCAGATAAATTCTGTGAAACCTCGAACAAAACCAAAGCATTGGAATAACATGTGAAAAAAACTAGAAAACTCAGTAGAATTCGAAAAACTTATAAAAACATTGTCAACATTAGAATCCATTTAAAACAATCGGGAGAAAGTAAAAAGCAACTGGAAAATATTGACAATTCCACTCTGCAAAATTATATGAAATCCCGCGAAATATTAGTAATTGCGCAATGCCTGAAAAATCTGTGAACATATAAAATGATCTCGTATTATGGAAACACTAAAATCTACGGATTTTCCCTTCATAGAAAAGATAAGTTTTTTGTATTCAAATAAATGGTGATACTTTTGAGCAGTATTAGCAAACTTTTATTCATGAATAAAAACAAATATTATCTAAGTTGATAAGATTATTGTGGAGATATTTAAATTTCTTTTTGTATAGTGACTTTTAAGATATTTTATACAATTCAAGTGATTCAATGTTGTTTCACATTTTAATCTCGTAAGGATTGCGCTGAAAACTTTTCTGTTTGATTTCTTTTAAAAAGAATATGACGCGTTAATAATACAAATGCGAAATGTTATATTCTCCTAGTAATCGATTTCAATCATTTGAGAACGATTGAAAGTATTATCTAATGTCTGACTTCGAAAAAAATAGTCGAGCGTTTTAACTAACAATGATTATATCATAGAAATTGTTCTATGGTATTGCAGAAAAGGTGATTTTTTGCAATATACATTTTCAATAGTTTTCAAATCAGCTATCAATTGAAAATCATTCATTTTGTGAATAAATAAACAAATTCATAGCCATTTCTCGTAATGTATCTATCGATCCGAAAGATCTGAGAATATA